CTTAAGCAATTAGCTAGTAAAAATACCTTGGGCCTGGGGAGTGGGAGACGTCGCAGGCGTGTCTGTTTTTACACACCCCCGCCAACCCCTCTCTGCCAATTTCAGGATTCCTGGGGCCGGAGCTGGGGCGCACATTTGTTTTGGGGTGGGAGGGGGCCGGCCTTCATGGATTTTAATCCAAGAGCAAAAGGCTGCCGGCGATCTCTGTCCCTGTCTGCATTTTCTCCTCCGTCCCTGGAACTGAGCCCTTGGGGTTTTTGTTTCTGTTTGTACAACCTAAGCCTTCCGTGCATGGTCTTGTCCAACCCTCCGTATGACCCTAAGAAATAGGAACCATGATGAGTTCCATTTTTCAGATAAAGAAACTAAGGCACAAAGAGCGTGTGCATCATCCCTACGTGGTGGGGCGAGTTCAAATTCCCCTGCCTTTCGGGTTCAGGGCAGAGCGGCCCCTCTGCCCTGGGCACCGCCGGACCTCACCCCGTGGTCAGGACACTTAACGCCCTGGTTCTGCAATCAGGCCAGGTTTGGATACTGGCTCTGTAGGGTGACCTAGGATCTGGAGTGACCTCGCCGAGCTCCATCTGTGAGGGAAGAGGGAGATTATACTGACTTGGTAGGGGCATCGGGGAATATTAAGCAAGTTTCTTAGGGACATTTAACCGGGGTCCTGTGTTCATGGTTGGTGCCTCACAGGTTCACAGATGGGCTCCAGGCATTTGGTGAAACCTTCAAAATCATTCTATGAATGTCACAAATATGCACCTTCTGGAGGTGGGGGCAGGTCTGACTAGTTTTCAAAGAATTGACAGCCAAGAGGAAGGTTAGGAACAGACAAGGGCAGTTTGTGGAGTGAGGAGCAGCGCCTGGTGCCTGGGCAGCAGTGGATGAGCCTACTATTATCACAGTATTTGTAGTTGTCATTGCTATTTTATCACCATCAGCTCTCCAATGGGGCTCTCTGTCCCCTTGGGCCTGGGAAGCCAGGGCTGTGTGGTGACAGCAGAGGCATTTCTTTTCTAAGCCCCACTCTCTCCACTCCCAACCTACACAGAGGCACCCGGAAGAGTGAAAAGCCAGGATATTTTGTCCTTGGGCGTACAGAGGGCAGACAGAGAGATGTTCACCTCTCAGCGCTGGCTGATGAGTGCCAAGTCCATGCTGGGCCTCAGTTTCTCCATCCTAAAAATGTAGGATTAAGGGAGACCTCTCAGGGACATTTTAAGAGCCGAGAATGCAGTCTCTGGGCATGAAGGAAAGCCCTTCTTGCTACGACTGTGGTTTTCCCCAGAATTCAGGGGGTCCCCTCCAAATTACAGAGTTGGGAGCTAATTACCCTCCTCTCTCACGCCCCCACTTCTACACACACCCAGCAGTAGAGATTAGCAGTTGAGGAGAGCTTCCATCTTTGGCTTTCCTGAGACTCCCAGGCCTACTGGGCCGGCTCTTACCCTGGACTCCATGGCTGGCTGGCCTGTAAGATCTGGCTTACTGTCAGAGCGGGTGAAACGGTAGAAAGAAGGGTGGAAAGGGAGAAAAAAAGGATCTCTGGGTTAGCCAAAGATGGGACCTGCTGCTTCCCTTCCCCAACAGAAGAAGGCCCAAGAGTGAAGGAGGCTGCTGAGAAAGGGCTCCCCAAGTTCATGCTTTAGAGACCCCCTCACTTTGAAGGCGCCCCATGAGTGGGGGAGGGGCGAGGGGAAGGAAGAATGTTATTTCCACTTGCAGAGAGCCCCAGGGTGCATCCTGCACCCCTAGCTGGCTTAAGAGCTGTGCAGTTTCCCTGCTCACCTCTGCTAAAGGCCAGATGTGCTTTGGCAGTCGGCAGTAGCGACCCCTTCCTGGGAACAGAACTTTCCTCCGGAGGCCAGGGTCTCCTCATCTGCAACTGCCATTTGCCAACCAAAAAAAAAAAAAAGAAAGAAAGAAAGAAAGAAAGAAAAAAAAAAGTGGGGAGAGTAGAGAATGTGAGAATGCGTGTGTGCGTGGTCGCGTGTGCACGTGTGGAGTGGCGGTACTTATGATTATTTGCGCGCGGCGTCTGGCTATGCGTGGGCGAATGCGCAGTGCAGAACACGTGGGCGTGCATGAGATGTGCACTTAAACCAAAGTGTGCCCTCCCCGTTGGGCAGGCCTGTGTGTTGGTCCAAGGGTTGGGGGACGCCTGAGCTGTGAGGGTCGCTGGGAAGGGTGTTCGAGGCCGTGGTTGGTGTGGAGCGTATGTGTGTCCGCGGAGGCTGAGCTGATTGTGTGAAGTGGGAGCGGGTCTGCCAGAAAGCGTTTACCTGCGTAAATGCACAACCACACACTACGGGTCACGTCCCACACTCATTCTTTCCCTAGGCGGGCCAGGCTCTCTGAGCGCGGAGACCCAGAGAGGCCAGCGGAAGGACAGCGCGAAGGCGGCTCTCTTCTCCCGCGAGCGCGGATCTGGGGGAGGAGGCGGCGACAGCCCGGCAGGCTGCT